TATGATGGCTGTCTGGCTGAGGTGTAGCCGCGACAAAGCTATTCGAAAAAAACCACGTGTACTCGATCTCATCGATCTCTTGGATGGTGATTTCAACGACCCAAGTGAGGTGGCTGACTCAGCAAATAGGTATAACGACGGTCGCAATCGCGTTCGGGCAAGCGTGGAAATGGACGAGGCTGTGACTGAGTGCCCTGTGTGCGCAGCTATTTGTCTCAATCACTGGTGATCAACCTAAGCCCACGCAATGGAAAATTTTAGACAGCGTACAGAGCTAGGTGTTTACGTACACAAACTGTTAAGGAAGTGAAGCATAACAGAACTAACTCAGCAAAACAAGTTTTACGAGACGTTGCTATTCACCATTTAGGAGGATCTGTCGAATCGTCCGGTTCCCACGTAGACTAGAACCGGCGCCCTCAGATGACAAGACATAGTTTTGATCCTTAAGGCTACGGGCTACAGGTAATGCCGACTCAGATGACTTTGATATCTTACTGGATTTCGCGCAACAGACTATGGAATAACTGTCTTGTTCTTTACTACAAGATCGCTTATCGAAGCTGATGGTATTATCATACACAATGGGTCAGATTATTGTGTTGATCGTCCAAATCCACGGAACTGATGGCTCGAGGTGATCTGTAACATTGGAATGCGAAATTCCTAAATATGAAAACGGGACATCCTCTAAAGCGCATCCATGCAGTATGGACAGGAACGTCAACATTTCGGCGTCGGCATCCACAATGCCTGCATTTGGAAGGGGAGGGTATTTGCAAATTCAAAAATATTGTCTTCAGAGTACGCTACGAGAAGAACCGAGATAGAAGTTTTCCGGAAGCTAGGCTATTCCGATATTTGCCAAGAAAGCTAATAGGCTGCTTGGAAATAAATTCTATGCAAAAGCGCCTTTGCAATCATCAGCCTCCTGAAAAGCCTCTCGCATGCTTAAGCGGACAGACCGGATTTCGATGATGAAGTATGGAAACAGACATGCCAAGCGAACATGTTTCCTTGGATGTACTTAGAACCGATCGATGAGTCAAAATACTCCTAATAAGATCAAGTGAACTAGTTGGCAAGCATTCCACGACCAAGTGCGCACCATAAGACCACTAGTTTTACTGACAGACCCGGTATGGAGGCAATTACAGCATTGTAGTCAATACGTCAGAAAGCATATGAAACGAAATGGGATGTATACCGCCAAAAAATGGCATCCCTTTACAACCATCAAGTATAAGAATGACGTAGAAAAGTGGGTTCCCAGTCCTGAAAACACCACAACGAAGAACTCGATGCAATGGTTGAGAATACAAAGTATTAACAAAGGATTCGTGCGTGGCGAGGCAGGTGTTAGACATGAGGAATGATGTTCACTTAGACATCGAGATCACTATGTGAAGTTTGTGAGTAACAAAGGGGGGCTGATTGCGCAGTTGGTGTAAATCGGCAAAGCCAAACACCCGTGTTAGTAGATTGGGCGGGTTAATTTCTCTATTGCGTGGTGACGAGCGTTGACGTGTGATTCCCACCATGCATTATCTGTCAACGTGGTGTACAACGAACTTGCAATCTGAAACACTCCCCTTGTGACTGTACTATTAAAAGTGATACCCAGACTAGTAATAACCTTGGGATTCACATGCCTATATCGTGAGTGCCACTCCAATCTGCAACCAAAACTCGCAGTGATGATTACGCAAGGACCAGACAAAGCTTAGAAACGCAAAACGTCACTCAGTAAATGTATGAACCTAGGTAAAGCTTTTACAATGAATCAGGGATGGAAAAATAATTCTCTAAAATGAAAGATGGATCGGAAAACAGATAACTGACAACTGTATCGACCTGGTTCACATGTAGGAAAGCGAAGATTAATAGCTGTTTTAAGTGAGTGTTGTAACGGTAGTTTTAAAGCAACGCGCGCGCCGAGCAAGATGCATAGGCGAATTCATCACTACAGGCCGAGGTAACGGTGACATGTGCACCAATCGAATGGATCTGTAAGCATGCATAATGCGTTTCAATACTAGAAAGTATCAACCGTCAACAACAACAATAAAGTAGTCAGTAAGAATAGTCGTGTGTAGGGGGACAAAGTCAAAAATAACTGGAGCGGACATGTACAAATGGCCGAAGTGGATTCATCATGATGATCAGATGATTGAAGCCAACCAAAACCCTCTCTCTGAGACTGTACTATGCATACCTGTAGGCGACAGAGCGCATCGTGAACAAGAAGAAAAAAGGGGCCTCCCTGCCACGTGCAATAGCAAGCAATTGCATGCAAGCGGTATTGCTGTAGGGACGAACAAAGCCATGTATGACGGGGAAGTCGAACGAAGAACAACAAATTTGGGAACAGAACGTCTGAAGACCACGGACCCTCTAACGACAAATTGGTGCACATTATCATAGTTTTGGATCGAAAACCGATGTTCAACAACCAGTATCGTCGCAGAACGGACACCACAAAGTATGACAAATGAGTTGTCATGGACCACAAATCTTAGCAGGCAAGGGAGTACAGACAGAGCCCTCAGTGTGGCAGATCTTACTGGCTGAGTGGATCGTCGAACAGGACAAAACGAGGAACTAAGTGGCACACTTGAACTTTAAAGACATACCTTTCTATGACTGCTGATAACTTGTTTAATTCAAACGCACTTTTAAAATTGTTTTCACCAAATATGGAGAAAACCGCCACAGACGTAGGATGGAGCCAGTGGAAGTAATAAGAAGTATGGATGAGTTGCATTCTGGGTCACATGCGAAAAATGAAAGCTGTAAAAACAGTACTCATCAAAAAATGCCACGAACTTCGGTATTATTAGAGGCAACAAAACATCAAAGACGCTGAAGTCTGAACACAAGTTGGTCCAGAAGCGATAGGTTGTATACTGGTTTGCGTCATTAAAGAGTACAACTACCGGATTAGGTTTTCAAAATTAACTGGTTTAGGAGAAAAAAGTGAAGGATCAGGTCAAAGAAATGGAGTTCTATCTTCACCAAAACTCATTCTTCACTTAAATAAAATGGAACTCCAATTACAATTAGTGGAAACCTTACAGCCCTTGTGCAGTTCTTACACAAGCAGATGGATGTTAAGCTGTCCCAGCGCTGAACAACTATCAAGAATATTTGCATCTTTGGAGTCATAAGAAGTCGGACGATAATGCGGAAAACTGCGTCACTTTAAAAATTTAATCTATTTCGCAAGGTAAATGGGGGAAACCCTTAAACCTGTAAAGAGGAAAAATCTCATGCGGTGCGGATATAATTCATCAACTTACCATGCTAGCGGGTGTGAATCGCCTAAGATAAATCCCTGGAAATACAGTCTCCGGTGACTGAATTGTCATATTTTTCCTGAAGATAAATTCTGAAATCTTCGTCATATCTGCGGACGGTTCGACCAAATAATGTTCCCTAATGCATCCAACTGGCCAAACGGAGTTTGCAGCCCTGCACAGGTACATAGATGGTCGAGGGAATCAACCGGTGGGAGAAAAAGACAACTGCCAGAGCGTACAATGCCATTAAGTGGCAGAACTGCAGTAGTGCGAAAAAGTAGTTAGAAAACGTGAACAAAGTATAATGAACACTAGTATGAAAATTCAGCTAGGCCGGGAGATCAAACTTGGCGGATATGACAATGTCAATAAAGATGGCTTTGAAAGTCTCTAGCTCAAGACAAATGTTACAGTGACCGGGTGTTGTATAAAATGCCTAAGCAGTGGAATGTGAAACACCACAGGACGGCAACACATTCAATGGGGGTGAAAAGGATGAGATAACCATCCGAAAAATGGAGACAGAAAAGAGTATCAGGTAGACAAAGCAAGCGCGAAGCCTACTGACTTGTGAATATAGTTCCGATATGAAAACTGCAGGATAGGTTTAGGCTCCCGGTGAATTCTAAACATATCAATGAGGTGGAGAAACGCAAAGGCTACCGATAAAAATCCCAGGAATCCCTTTTAATCCTATGTTTCTTTGCCTGGGCAAACGGGAAGCCATATGCCCGCACATCATCATCATCATCATACACGCTAGCTGGAGGTGGGGAACACCTCAGCTACTGTGCCGCAATACAAAGAAAAAAGAAAAATAATGCAACTGGTGCAAGCCGGCTGAGCTACCGGTAACGGATGGGCATCGTTCCGATAAGCTACTAGCCGGCTACTGTGCATCAAAAAAATTACTAGGCAAAATTGTATAAAATCAAATAATGAGATCGCGATTGGAGGGGGAGGCTAAGAGGGATGGGGTGGGACAAAGAAACTCACAGCACGAACGCCACTGAGGTCGGCTCCTAGCCATATCAGCAAGTGTGTCCAACCAAACGTGTTCATCGTCTTTTGGACCCCAACCAGGGAGCCGAGAGGATCCAACCGAGGCCAGCTCAAAAGTGAGGG